AGCGTATCATTGTTATTGCAGGATGCATGCTAATGGATAACAGAAGAATTAGCTAAAGATCGATATTAATTATGAGTTTTTATAAAAAAAAAAAAAAAAAAAAAAAAAAAAAAAAAAAAAAAAAAAAAAAAAAAAAAAAAAAAAAAAAAATCTTTCAAGATCTTATTCATTAAGTTTTTTTTTTTTTTGTTATATGTAATTTAATGTATTACTTTAAGATTAATATCTTCGTACAAATCGTTAATCTATTTTTTATTGCTTATCTTTTGCCTTTGTTTTCTTCCCTTTTTTTTTTTTTTTTTTTTTCTTTTTTTTTTTAGGATTGTTCCAGAATTATCTACAGAGCGATCGTGAAGGGGGTGATATATTATTGAAAAATAATAAGCAGACGATGAATAATACATCCTGTCCTGTTCCTAAGTACTAGTGCCGCAGGAGTGATTAGACTGGGTTAGAAATTACCATATCTCCTGCTGCTCAAGTGCTTATCAATGGGTCGGGACGCACATCTACTTTCTTTTGTGACATTCCGAAGCGACGAGCAACGACATTATTCTTCAACGTACTTTAAATCACATACGTAATTTTGTTATAGTTTAATGTCATCGTATTAACAATAAGATAAATGAATAAATGTTATAAATAGATATGATAAGTAAATAATTAAATATAGGATAATCGATTAAATTAAGTCCATCGTTCTTCATTTTTTTCTTTTTCTTTTTTTTTTTTTTCTTGGTTCTTAATAATGAGACTGAAGTATAGTTACAAAAAAAAAAAAAAAAAAAAAAAAAAAGAAAAAGAAAAAAAAAAGATCTGTTTTGCATACAAGAAACACTTGTATACATTAATCTTCTAAAGAACGTGAAAGTTAATGAAGAAAAAGGATAGAAAAAAAAAGAATTTCATTGGAGGAGCTGGGATTTGAACCCAGGACTTTCAGCATGCGAAGCAGACACTCTACCACTGAGTTACACCCCCACTTATAAGAAATTGATAATATGTATTATCTCTACTTTTCTCTCTCTCTCTCTCTCTCTCTTTTTTTTTTATGTGTGATAAAAATATATTATATAATTGTTAAATTAATAATAAATATGTCTATCATTAAAATTTTCTATAAAAAAAGAATGATATTTTTGTCACACATCTTATACTACCATCAATTTTTATATTTCTGAAAGGGAAATAATTGTAGATGGCGATGTTAATAAATGAATGATATAATGAATTCCTAAAAAAAGAAAAGAAAAAAAAAAAAAAAGGAAAGAATTTCATTTCTCTGTAAATATTGAAGTTTCTTTTCCGTAAGATTAGATAATATATGAAATTTTTTTTTTTTTTTTCTTTTTTCATACGACTTCAAAATACATTTATAAAGACAAAAAAAACCATATTTATTTTTGCACAAATCGAACACGATGATTATTTTTAAAATTTCCGTTCCTATTCAATTATGTTAGAAAGGATATTTCCATTTGTAATTATAATTTTTTTTGTTTTTTTTTTGTTTTTTTTTTGTTTTTTTTTTTTTACAAAAATACATTTATACTCAAACTTGAATTATTTTTTAACCTGACGATATTTTTTAATCCTTCGTCCTTTTTGGCTATATGCGTAATGTCGACAAATTCGCCCGTTAAGATCGATGAATAATTAGAAAACTAGACGACCATACTCGACGATCAATTTGGCGATTCGATTTTGTCAGTATCGTAGCAATCGTCGAACAGTATGAATATCGAGACGTGTCGTAATAATGATTATTTGTAGAAAAGAAAAAAAAAAGAACAAAACGAAAAGAAAAAAAGAAAGAAATATTGGTTGCATTCCTTATTACAAGAACATCGTATGAAAGGTATATTCAAAGAATTTGTTAAGGATGTTGAAAAAATATTAAACTCTTCTTACCACTATCATTATGGATCCTTTACTTTTGATCTGCCGTAAGGACGATCTAAAGAGAATGCCATAGAATTTTGAAATAAAAAGAATAAAAAGAAGGAATAATAAATAGTCACGTATTATAGGATAGTTGTGTTGTTCTGTTTCCAAGGATAACAAAAAAAAAAAAAAAGAAACCTTTAGAATAAAGCATCGTTAAAATATATATCAAAAAAAAATATATTCCATTAAAATTAAATAATACAGCTTTATTCAATGATCTTCAAAATTTTTTTGCTTGAAAATAACTTCTTATTGTTCGTATAGGGTTTTTACATTTAGAACTATTATACGTCTATTTTTCTATCTTTGCTATATTTTCTTTTTCTTTTTTTTTTTTTTCTTCTTTTCTACATTACGATTATTCCTTTTTACAAATTCTCTTTCATTTATACGAACTTTTTGATCTATCGTTTAAATGGAAGATCAATTGTATACATTCGTTAAAGTTTCTATCGAATTTGTATGAAAAATTTTTCATATTTCCCGGGCAAATTAAAACTAACCTTTACATAGTCGGTACTGTGCAAGCGCTAAGTTTCCCTCCGTCTTACTGACGATCGGCAGCCATACGCATACATACGTTCTCTATCGTTTCCTGTTGTATATTTACGTGACGTGGGTCTCACTGATTGACTGACTGTGCCGGTAGTATTCACATCGAGTAACATTGGGAAGGATTATTGCAAGGATCCGTATTAGAGTTGATTTATTTTATTGATATAATATAATTATCATCATCATGTTGCAATCAGTATTTGAAGATGTACGGCGAATGAATAAAAGACAGGTAAATTTATTCCATTAAAATTATTCTCTTCGATTCGTAGAAAAAGCACATATGGTCTCGTCTAAAGACACTTAGCTTAATCTGAATCTTTTCTTCTTTTTTTTTTTTTTTTCTTTCTTTTTCTTTTTTCTTGCAGTTCATGTATCAAGTGCTCAGCTTTGGCATGATCGTGTCCTCGGCCTTAATGATATGGAAAGGTTTAATGGTTGCAACGGGTAGCGAAAGTCCCATTGTTGTTGTTTTAAGGTACAATCGCAAACTAACCTATTACATTTCTTAAAACAACGCTATCAATATAACGTTTCTTATAAAAATATTGTTCTAAGAATTCGTAGCTTTTAAACAAATTCTTTTTATTTGATATTATAGCGGTAGTATGGAACCAGCATTTCATAGAGGTGATTTATTATTTTTAACTAATCATCAAAATGAATCTATGAGAGTAGGAGAAATTGTTGTTTTCAAAGTGGTAGGTAGAGAAATACCGATAGTCCATAGGGTTTTGAAACTTCATGAGAAGTAAGTGATATTAATAAATTATTTTCATAAAAATTATTTTGCATTAATACAGATCTCTTAGAACGTTGATGTTTTTCTTTTTTTTTTTTTTTTTTTTTTCTTCTTTTAGGGGAGACCAGAACAATACTGTTAAATTTTTAACAAAAGGTGATAACAATTCTGTCGATGACAGAGGCTTATACGCCCAGGGACAATTATGGCTTACACATAAAGACGTTGTAGGTAGAGCAAGAGGATTCTTACCATACGTAGGTATGGTTACTATTTATATGAATGAATATCCAAAATTTAAATATGCCGTTCTATCGTGTTTGGGTTTATATGTTTTGATTCACAGAGAATAAGAATAACTTTTTATAGAAAATTAATACAATAGACTGTCATTTGTCATTTAATCTAAATATGTAATGGTATTAGATGACAATGAATTGATTAAAACATTTGTACGGGGGTTATTTGAATGTATTTCATACCCTTTCAATTGTATACTGTTCACATATATTTTCTTCTATAAAAAAAAAATAAAAAAAAAAAAAGATGTATCGCTTTGTTAAAATATTGACAATTTGTGACAGTGATAAATAATAATTGAAAGAGTACGAAGGCAGACACTCCAGTACTTTTATATTGTGCCACAAAATGAACAGTTTTTCGGCTATTGGCAAAATCATATAGAAAAAAAATAGTTGGATTTTTATGTGCGTACACGACCTTTGTGTTTACAATAAAAAAAACAAAAAATAAATCATTGTGTTAAAATTTATAAAATTCATTGTTTAGATAAAGAAAACAATGGTACAAAATATTTTTCAAACACATAGCTGGGCATTGATCTTAATTTTAAGAATTATTGCACATCATTTTATCGTTCTTTATGCACTATGCTTTGCTACTTATAGCAAAATTAATTAGATTTAATAATTGATGTCAAAAGCTATAGAATATATCTTATCAAATTAAATCACAATTAGAACAAAAAATTTTATTTCTATTTATTCATCAGCTAGACTATATAAAATAAAATATTATAATAATTATTTGTAATGACAGTTGTTTAATCTTTATAGTAAAAAGTACATTATATGGAGACACAATGTACTATTCAACAGTTTAATAGTGATTTGTATATACTTTATTAAGATATTCATTTTCATTGTTCAGGAAACTGAAAAAAAATCTGTCAAGGTAATAATAGAAGTTGTACATACACTAAATTATATCTATTGCTGATTTAAATAATATCTCATATTATTTGTATCCCAAATCGAAAGCAACTTTTTCTTTGTTTTTAATATAGTATATAATCGAACCTAACAAATTATAATGGAAAAATAATGAATATATATATGTATATGCATATGTATATGTATATGTATATGTATATGTATATATATATATATATATATATATATATATATATATATATATGTGTATGTGTTTGTGCAAAAATTTTTTTAATTTTAATGAATTGTTGTTCTTCATATGTTCAGAATACTATCATGAAAATTCTTCCTGATTATTAACTGTGGTAAAGTAGATCAATCAAATTTACATACTCCATGTAAATATAATAATTTTATCTCATGCAATAGTATTTATTACACCATCGCTCTTTATCCGTTGGTAAATCATTGATACTTTTAAAATTAAATTACATATTATCTTTTTTTTTTCTTAATCTGTAATTTAAGATTTATATTATTCGAAACATGTACCTAACAAGTGAATATTTTTATTTACATTTAAATGTAATTTAACATGTTAGTTAAAAATATATGTCACCTATAATAAAAGATTGATTTTTTTTTTTCGTTTGTACGTACCAGTACTGACTGATTAAGAGTATGGCTTTAGGCGAATCCAATTTTCCATTGGAGTAATAACTATACCAGGATATTTATCTTCAATTTTCGTAGGTTGACCTTCGACGAAAGAAAAATCGAAGTTTTGCATTAAGGCAGCAAAAACTTGAAATATCGTAAATCTCGCGAATGTTTCTCCGGCGCACAATCTGTGACCTAATTGTTTTTTTTTTTATTTTTTTTTTTATTTTTTTTTTTTATTTAAATGAACAAATAAATAAATAAAAGATTTATATGTACAAATCGAAAAGGAATGCGATAAAAATAAGAGATTCTGATATGATTTCTTACCTGCGCCAAAAGGTATCGATAAATCTTTATTTAATTGACCGTCATCCTTTAAAAATCTTTCCGGTCTAAAATTCTCTGGATCGCCCCAAAAATCGGGATCATTATTTACCTCAGAGATATTGGTTATCATAACTGTATTATTTGGAATAAAATATCCTCGAAATATTGTATCCTTAGTGGATCTATGTATAATACCAAGTGGAGTAATCGTTTCGTATCTCATGGTTTCGCGTATAGTCGCTTCTGTATATGGAAGTCTACGTAAAAGCAAATGGGAGATATTATTTTATGAATTCAATCGCAATATAAGATTTAAATTGGTACATTTTTCAAAATTTAATTACTTACTTATTTCTATCCTCCCAACTAACCAATCTTCCACTTCCAACGACCTCGTGTATCTCTTCTCTAACTTTTTTCGCAACGTTTGGAAAATATATCATAAATTTAATAGCAAATGTAATAAGACTGACTGTCGTAATTGCAGTAGGCAATATGAAATCTAATATTGTTATTATAAGATATTCCTCTGAGAAGGAAATTGGAAGATTGTCCTCTTTCAATTTGTTCAAGTATTTACCTATAAATCCGTGCTCGCCATTTTTTTCGTGCATTAATTTATATTTATCCAAATATTTCTACAATACGAATATTTTACAAAATTATAACAATCAGATTTACACAATTTATTCATTTATTACCTTTATAAAGTCTATCATAGCATAGTTCGATTCCATTGAGTCTTTGAATGAGAATAAATTTCCAAAAAAGCATGTGATCGGCCAAAAAAAGACAGAACCACCCAATGAGTCGGTTGATCTTATAAATTTCATGCCCTTTCGACCGAAGTAACGAAGCTTTTCGTATTTACTACGTTCGAATCTGTATCCAAATATAATTTCCCATATATTATTAATAAAGAATGTGTATAAAACATCAGGAAAAAGGGCCAATCCGTCTTTACAAATTTTCTATAATAAAAATCAAATGAAGAAAGAGAAAAGAAAATAAAAAAAAAAAAAAAAAAAAAAAAAAAAGAAAGAAATAATAATCGTATAACATACCTTTTCATCTTCGTTTACAGGACCATATTTTAACATATTCATTAAAATGTTTAATTCCTCCATGCTATTCATTTCAAATATCTCGTGTCGTCGACCAAATCCAAAATCTCGCATATAACGAAGAGCGAATCTTCTTTGTTCTCGCCATTGTTCTCCATCAGTAAAAATTATACCTATAAAATAGGGAGAGAAACAAAGAGAAAAAGATAAAAAAAAATATAAGAATATAAATTAATTTATTTTAAAAAATAATTCTCTAGATGCAAGATTAAATTACCCAATTTTTTATTAAATGCTCGTGCCTTTATGAAGTAAGTATCAGATAATTTACCATCGAATTCTTCTCTGAGCAATATTTCTTTTGCATTTTCATAATCGTTAGCAATTACGGTAAAAAACGATCCAAGATAACAACTAATCAATTTAGATTTTAATTTCTTCGAAAAATAACCCAACGATTGATATGGATATTTGTAATTGTACCATAAACAATACCAATAAACTCCTATTATCGGTAATCCAACGATTCCTATTTTATTATAAAAGAAAACATAAAATAAAGTAAAATAAATTAATATTATTCTAATGATCATTTAAATAAATATATTATCGTTAATAATAATAAACAGATTTTTACCTGGAGGTGTTCCTGGTGGTTTACTGCTTAGATATTTGTAATAATTATATATTATAAGGAGAAGAGCAATTATTACTAAAAGAGAAAACATCTTTGTGATGTACACACCATGAAGTATTGTTGGAGAATACTGTTTTATAGAAATTATACCAACCGTGATAATACGATAAATTTATCAACAAAAAAGAAGAAAAAATAATCTTTCATGGAAAATTTTGTATTTTTTATACGTTACATTGATATATATATCATGTTCTTTAATTTTATTTGATAATAAATACGTACTCATAATAAAGTGATACATAAATTATTTCATTGTTTGATGTATCTTTATCAATTTGTTCATAAGAAACAGTATTAAACTATAGAGAACTAAAGTCTCAGACAACATTCATCTATGTCATATGTAATAAATTGGATGATAATTTTTTTATAATTTCACAAATATTTCCGTCAATATAACAGATACATCAATATTTTTTAACATATAAAGGTTTTTTTATTTCTGATTTATTATTAGATCGAAAATATTAATGACGAGTAAAATATTATACGAAATATGTATATTAATAGCATGAAAGATAAAAATATAAAAAATAATATTCTTCTAATAAAATTGTGTATTTCGCTATACAAATAATATACGTAAACTTTTTCATATCATAAAAAAAAAAAAAAAAAAAAAAAAAAAAAGTCTAAGTACTACTATATTGTTAATGCGATAAATTTTACAAATTTGTATGAGATTATAGTTTACCGCTTACTATCCATTGAAATTATATTTAAATATAAAATGACTTAGCACATTCACTCTAAATATTTAATATCACCCAAACATTGTACTTGAAACTTGCTTTTTATCATTAAATGCATACGATCGTCTCTTATAATAGCACAGCCTATACTTGGTGTTAATTCATAAAGCAAACAAATACAATCTTCTAAATTCTGCATTATTCCCATATCAAATGTTGGCGTTTCCGTTAAGTCAAAATGTAGCTTCAGAAAAGCTTTATAAAGTGGTATACAGTGTGCTGCTACCCGTAGGTTAAATATCACAAGATAAGTTTTGGCAGTCTATGTAAACAAATAATATTATATAAATATTTGCCATTTATAGTAAAAATTAAATTTATTAAATTTATAAGATTAAACTTTTTACCTCTAGCGTAGCTTTTAATGTTCTAAGATCTGTATGATGCTCACAATATTCAGATAATATTCTTGCTATTCTTTCACACCATTTGGCACAACCAATGTTGTTAAGAAGTTGTGGTAAACTTAACATATAAACATGCCGTAATTCTACATTTTGTTCAAGCTCCATATTATCTAATAATGTTGCAAGTACTTCATCTCGTTTAGTCCACTGTAAATATTTACACACACATACATATATATATATATATATATATATATATATATATATATATATATATATATATACATTATATAGACACACATACACAAAGTGAGGCAAAAATTTTAATCACTTGAAATATTTATGTATAAAAATGTTATATAAAAAATTTCAATGATATGAATGTAAATATTTTTTACATATGTATTTACATGATATTATGTCTCCTTTTGTATAATTCAAATTTTGTATATAACATTTTTCTATAGTTTTACAAATAATGGACAAAGTTTTTGCCCACCCTTACTTATATGTATAATAATATTATATATACACATAAATACACAATATGTATATATACATTAAAATATAAATATATATATATATATTGAAAAATATATTATTTTTCAATTAACAAATTAAAGATAGTAATCAAAAAATATATACCTCAAACACATTTAAATTATTATCCCAGACGTCCAACGTATCTAAAAGATTTGTTAAACACGAATATAATGGCACAACATATCTGGCATTTCTCTGATGAGTTAAACGTTCTAATGCATGATAAATTACATCTGCATAACCAGTATCTATTAATCCCTTTTTCTGCAATTAAATATCATAAGAAATTGTAATGTATAATCATTAATTGTTACACATAATACATGTTTTTTTTTTTTTTTTTTTTTTTTTTACTTACCATACGAGAGTGCTGCATAATTTGATATAAGCATTCTAATCCAATTACTACATTTTCTGGTACATAATCATCGATAATTATTAGGGCTGTTGGAAGTACTTCACGAATATGATCATATAAATTTGATTTCTAAAAAAGTAAATACAAACAATTGGCCTTTTTATTGCAAATAAAAAATTGTCAATTGAAATTAATATTCTCAAATAAAAACACTGTATTTTACCTTTAATTGTAACAAAATCCATTTGTACCACGTAACAGCTGACGGATAAGTTTTCCAATTGTCTCGTTGTAATTTATATCTAAACTTTTCTAATATCACACTAAGATTATTATTTTCCATTAAAAATTGTGAGATATCTAAATAATAATATAACTGATAAAAGGAATCGGTTAATTCTTTGGAAATTGAAACAGATTCTGCAGTATTCCAAATGTTTTTCTCATGCATTTCTCCAATTAGATATATTAAATTCAATGCAAAGTTTTTCACTAATATATTATCATAATCTATTCGTACATTTGTTTCATTACGAGTCTGTATAATATGTTGTAACATAGACTTAATATTTCTTAAATTTCTATCCACAATAATTCTATATTCTCTGAAGTCTTTTTCATCGCATGGCCTCTCATTACCACATAATTTCTGTGGGACAAAGCTTTTTTCTATGAGATCTATGCATCCCGACCATAGACTTTCGTCCATTATATTTCCAGAAATTTTTAAACCTTCCAATTCCCTCATTAGGTTGTCCATTGTTATTAGAATTTACAATTTCGATTAAATTGAAGGATAACGTTGCAATTTGAATTATCTTGAAGCTACATTATTCTCCATATATTTCCCATGGAATATCATATTCTTCGTATATATTCTATTTCGAAAAATGTAAAATACTTGACCTACCGCACGTTAAAGAAATTACAGTGTCTAATGGTCGACAAAATTATTCTCTCATTCTCTTCGTTCGAGCATTTAGATTGAATGTTCTTCAATAGAAAATGTTTTCTTTTGTCTTAAATTAATGCGATATATTAGAAATCAATATCGAATATAATTTGACTCAAATACAAAGATATATTCGTTGAATTTCTATCCGACTATCCCTTTACGATATAATTACTGTATTTTGTAACATTATAATAAACGATATATCGAATCGTAAAATTCAACGTTAGACATGTCTCTTATGTATTTTCGATTTATCGAAAATCTCGAATGACGTTCTTCCATCCTTCTCTCATATTTTCTTTTATCTTTTTCTTGTCCTTTCTGTTGTACTATATACATCCTTTTCTTAAAACATAACCAACAATAGCGTAGTGTAGTTAAAGTTAGGTAAAGCGAAGTATCGATATACAAATGCGATTATTGAGATATATCGTTATATATCGTTATCGAACGTATGCCATTCGATTGTACTTGGCCTGAGATAGTTCGTCCATAAACCGTAAAGTAGACCGTTTAATTCTTTTTATCCGAAAATTTGAAGATCCTGGTAATTATGAATTAATGCAGCAGTAGTAGCTGGTAGTTGCGATATGGCTGAGTATCGTTAGTTCAATTTATATACGTTCATTATATTTCATTTTGCAGCGTTGTATTCACTTCAAAAAAGGAAATGCTCATCTTTGATCTCCATCTTGCTTCCTGCATGTCAGTCACCACCCTTCATATAATTTTCGACGTTTATTAAAAGTCAGATCTCATATGTCACGATATTTGATATTTTATTATATTATTATTATGATCTGGAATCGGTTTTTTTTATTTTCTTTTTTTTTTTTTTTTTTTTTTTATTTTAATAGTTTCACCTAACCCCAATTCTCTTTATTTTAATTAAATGAGATAAATCTTTTATTATTACTTAGGATAGACATTTTGAATAACTGTCAAATATGTTCAAATTGAATAATCATAAATAAATATAACAATGATCATACAAAGCATGATTCATATTTTTCTTATTTCTTATAATTTGTTGTTTTTTTTTTTGTTTTTTTTTTGTTTTTATTTTTTATTGTTGTACAACATACAATCATATCAATTTACGAGAATGAACAAAATTTCTAACGCGTTATATTTTTAAATGCAAGGATCTGGTTCGTATTGCGTGTCTTCCGGAGTAGGCAGTGATTCAGAAGTCATGGCTGAACTAGCAGCATTGCTGCATCAGGAAATTCCTGAAGGAAGGCACAATCTTGCAGACAGTCATACAAATCTTGAACGTGTTGCGGATTATTGCGAGGCAAATTATTTTCAAGCTGACAATAAAAGGATTGCATTGGAAGAAACAAAGAATTATACGACTCAATCATTGGCTAGTGTAGCATACCAAATAAATACTCTCGCTTATAATTTTCTTCAATTATTAGATCTACAAACATCTCAGTTAGCTGAGATGGAAAGTCAGATGAATCATATAGCTCAAACTGTTATGATACATAAAGAAAAAGTTGCTAGACGAGAGATAGGTGTATTAACGGCTAACAAAATGACAGCCCGTCAATATAAAATTATTGCACCAGCAAATCCTGAAAAGCCTATTAAATATGTAAGAAAAAGTATAGATTATACGATTTTGGATGATATTGGCCATGGTGTACGTAGTAGTGGTACACCAAGAAGTAAACAAAGAGGTGGTAGTCAAGGTAGCGTTCAGAGCTTGGGTGCAACATCTACTGGTTCTGGTTTGGGTGCTGCTATGGTAGGACCTGCACCTACTACGAAGCCACCGACTCCTCCTCAAACAGTAAGGACTGGTAAGAATGATTTATAATTATTTTGAACGAGTTAAACAATTTAAATATTACAAAATTTCTAATGATCATTTGTTCAATAATAGGAACACTGAGTAAGGGTTCACGTGAATACAGAACTCCACCTGCGGTTGCTCCACCACAAGTTCCTAGTCATTATGCGCCAAATTATCCATTGGGTCATCCAAGACGCGAACGTGGCCCAGGATATAGTACATTGCCATTGCATGCACATACAACTTCTCATTCTTCTCATAATACCAATCATTCTACTCACACGAACAATATGACGCAACATACATCTCCACCTCAAGTTGGTACGGT